TCCTGCTGTAGCACAGCTGAATGGCTGGGCAGCAAGGAGCTTTTCTGCACCCAGGTGGTAACAAGCAGCAGTGGCAAGGAGAAGCAGTGCCAGCTGGATCCTAGCACTGACCTGTCTAGGACCTGAACTGGGCCATTCTGACCCACTGCCACAAAACACTGTTGACTGCTGGTCTAGACCAATAATCATGATGTAGAGAAAAAAAAACCCAACACTTAAAAATGCCCGAGGTTACAACACAACCCAATGGCTAGAAGTACTGGACTGCAACTCGGGTCTCCCGAGTCGGTCTCTACTCTACCACCGTCCTGTTGGGTGACCTTGGCTCTGTATCTGGGTTTCCCTATCTGCAAAGTAATGCAGATAATGATGCTTACACCTCTTCCACAAAGTGCTTTGAGATCTGATGAAAAGCACTTTAGAGTGCCTATTTTTAAAATGTCTGCTTCTCCAGTACAGAGCCACTCTAGACCTTCCAAAGTTGATAAAGTAAAAACATTTTTCAGACACTTCAGTATATTATTTTTGAAAGCCCAACTATTTATGGCCAGAGCCACCTTTGTCCAATACTGACATTTTCCCCAAGATTGTTTGTGCCAGTTTTAGCCACCCTGAATTCAACCTAAGAAAAGAAATACTGATCACCACATACCAGCTAATATGTGATGTGCTCTTACTCCAACCCATTTGCTGTTTAATTTAGTTATCAAACACTGCTGTTCAGCTACTAATCTTTCAAATCTGACCAGTATTCTCAAAGGTGGCGATGTGTCTTGCGTTTCCTACAGCCCCTTTACAGTCTGGTACTGTCAGTCTCCCCCTGCAGCTCCATATATGTGTGCCCCCATATCCAGTCTTCCCAGAAGCATCGGTAAGATACTTTTTGCAGCCTGGTGCACACACAGGACACAGAAGAACAAGTCGAGCTTCTGGTATTAACTGCTGTGCTAGTTTCCTTCATCTGCTACTGTGCACCCAGGAGGCTCCAAGAGTTAAACTTGCTAGTGACTCTAGTCTAGTAAATCTCCCTGCAATTTCTTCAGTATTCAAAAAGCACAACAGAAGGGAGGTGCAGCAATCCAGGAATGAAGCCAAGGCTAAAACATGTTTTCAAATGTGGTTCCATTTTTCTAAATGGGAATGAAGTCTAAAAATCAACCAGGAAAAAGAAACAGAAAGAAAAGTAACTAGGATAAAAAGTGAAAAGATTTTACAATTGTTTTAAAAGAGCATAATGGTATTTCTCCCCAGTATTACAAACAGCGGTAGTCCATATGTATGAGGTTCCCGCAATTCAGTATCAGCTTTTGAACCACAGAGTTAATTAAATCTGCTTTAAAAAAAAAAAAGATGGTTTTCAGGTTTAATTGACAATATTAAGCATAGAAACAGGTGAGTCTTTTCTATAGAAAGCATCCATCATCAGTTCCAGTTTAATTCAAAACTAAAGAGTAAAAAATGTTTATTAGAAACAAGAGTAACGTGGCCTAGGTATATCACTCACTATGAGCAAGTTACATCTTATAGTTGAAGTCAAATTCTGCCCTCAAATACTGATAGATACCTCCCATAGATGACAAGAGTATTCAAAGTTTCATTATCATAAAACTCCAGTAAGTAGCAGAAATGTCATGCGCATTAAGGTTTTCTAACAGTACTAATAATCTGGGGGTGGGCAGGGGAGGAGAGAAAGTATTGGGGAAATCATCCTAGCTCACGTTATTCATGTCCAACACAAAAGGAAAGTTAGAATAGCAACCTTCAATGATGCGTAGAAACACTGCTGCAATGTGACCTTAGGTCAGGAGCAGACAATTATTTCGGGCGGAGGGCAGCTTACCCAGTTTTGGCGGGCTGTCGAGGGCCGGATGGGTAGCCCTGCCCCTTGACAGGTGCCCCACCCCCCGGTCACCATCTTGGGACCAATGTCCAAGGGCCAGCACTGGAGGGGACCAAAGCACGACACAGGCTGGCAGGGGGCTGTGGAGCACTAGCAGAGAGAGTGGGGGGGAAGCTGGCCTGGCTCCATAGAGCTCCTGTCAGTTAGAACCCTGTGTTCCTACCACCCTGCTCTGGGCCCTGCTGGCACTGGCTCCAGGACACTGGTGCGGGCTCCATGCTCCCACTGGCTCCCCACCCACTCACACCCAGTGCCCCCTAGCCCCACGGTACAGGCAGGGGGCAGTGCACAGCCCCAGGCCCCTGCTCACCAGCAGGGAAGCAGCTGGTGCCGAGCATGGGGAAAAAGCGGCCCCTCGCCCGCCCTATGGCCAGTGCTCCCTGCTGCAGGCGCTCGCAGCCTACACAGGGCTGTCTGGAGCAGGCACAGGCAGCCCCAGGCAGGCTGCGAGCAGCTGCAGTGCATGGCGCTGGGTACAGGGCTGTCCCCCCACTCAGCTTTTCCCCAGGCTCCTTCCCTGCCCGGGGTCCTCTCCCCCCTTCCCTGAGGTTCCAGCACAGGGCAGCCGTGTGGTCCCAGGTCAGAAGCGGGGCAAAGTGGGGCTTCTGGCTGGGGGGGCAGGGCCGGGCAGGCCCTGCTGTTCTGGGAGCCCGCCGGGCTTCCCCTGGGTCCTACTGGTGGTCATTTGACAGGAACCAAGGGCAGATAAATATTAATTTTCTAAATTTTTTAGGGACCCCGCAGGCTGGATGGAATGGCCGTGCGGGCCACATCTGGCCCACAGGCCATATTTTGCCTGCCCCTGCCTTGGATGAAGGCAAGTCTTAGCAAAAATTAGAGCCTCAAAGTACTGAACAAAAAACGGTTGATGCATTAATTTCAGCCTTTACCCATCATCATTCATGTACCTATATCTGAAAAATGTATATTATGCTTTTGTAGTTGTAAATCTAGGCAAGGACCAAGACATGAACAAACGAATTTTATTGCAGATCTTCTATACATTAGCCAACCTAGCATATTCCAAACAGAAACCTGTACATTTTTGCAAACAAACCTACCCAGAAAAAATAAAACCAACCACTACCTTAAGAAAAGAAAGCTGCTTGAGGGTCCAGGTTTAAAGGAATATAGGGAAAATCCAAACAACTAAGCTTCAGTTCTGTCACCACTTCAAAATGCATTCAAAGGAACCATTTCTACTGAATTGTCAAATGACTCAAGGGGCCGCTGCCCTGGTAAAAAAATAAAATAAAAATTGGGTGCTGCCAAGGAAACGTGGAAACGGTAAGGGGTAGAAAAACTTTTAGGGACACTAGTTAATCAAGTGATTAGTCTAGAACAGTGCATCTCAGCCAGTGGGACATAGAGAAGTGGTGGGCTTGCCACCGGCACTTCTGGGTTTGCTCAAAATCAACCGGTCACCTGAGGACCCCCTCCCCGCACTTATTATTTATCATAGTGGGACCAGGGTTTTTGAGACCAGTAGTTGGTGGGATGCAAGGTGGAAAGAAGTTGAGAATCGCTGGTCTAGAAGACTTAGTTGTGCAGTTCTTATACTTATAGTTCAGCCGCTGGGTCATCTTTGTCTTATACTAAATTGTAAGGTCTTTGGAAATGGGACTGGTCTTTTGGTCTTGCTTTTGTACAGTGCCCACTCAAGTGGGTTCTGATGCATTACTAACTCCTACACATTTATACACACACTTCTCCAGGAACATGCTGGAGATCCACCACTTCAGAGATTATAATCATTAGAATCATATAAAACCATTAGAATTGGTGAGACCTGGAACCAGTGGAAGTTAAGTGATCTATAAAATAGTCTCTCAAATGTATACGAGACACAAATAGAGTAAGCCCTAAAAGACAGAGCCACAAGTGTTTTCCTGAAGACCAGCTTCTCAACTATAAAGCACAAGAACTGCACAGCTAAGTCTTCTAGACTAATCACCTGATTAATTAGAACCCCTAAATTTTTAGGAAATTAACACCCTGAAGAACAAGTTAGGCTTCTTCCACTTACTTGCAGATATGTTAGTCCTTTGTCTAGCCTACGACAAACTGAATTAAACAGCACATACTGCTCGAGATTTAAACTAAATTGCCCTAACTGTGTTCTACCCTTCATTTTACAACCCTTTTGGTCAGTTCCTGACCAACTATGCAATACAAGCCATGCAACTCATGGATAGAAGACAAGTAGTAAATTTGACTATTCCTTGTGGTCTACAGATTCACAGCAATAGCAAATCCTGGGGGAGAGGAAGGATGTTAAACATCTGTTCTTTTGTCCTAGTAATTGAGTAATCCTATACCAACTGCCCACAAAAGGGAAGAACAATTTTGCTACTCTTCAGAAATTCTTTAGAAATCTAAGAGAATTAAAAAGGCATTCAGTTTTGATACTGGCAACTTACCGAGTGGTGCTTTGAGAAACCTGCGCTCAATGCCTTGCTCTATTTGAAGCAGTGCAGATGCTAAGCAATGGACCACATTATTAACTGGCTGGGGAGTGCTTGTATTTGTTGATGCAGTGCTTTGAGCTTCAGCTTTTAATCCTGTAAATCTAAAGTTAAAAAAAAAAGTTAAAAAGCACAATTTATGGCAGCATTGAGAAAAGTTAAATAAATCTAATTATTGTAGAGAATTTTAATTTATTTGCATGCATACAAGTTATAGCAAAAGCCCATCCAACATACCACAGAAATGGAGTTTAACAGGTTATATTGAGCTAAATTCCTTCATATAAAACATTACTCCAGATAGGCATGTCTGGTAGAGTAAATTTGGCATTAGGACACACTAATTTTGATTTAAGTATAACTTTTCACCAGTCTCACATTAAAAAAAAAAAAAAAAAAAAAAAAAAGTCTACTGTTACCTGTAAGCTTCTTTAAAAGCTTTTTTTGTTATGATGTACTAGCTGTTAAAAGAATGCATAACCCTTCAGAAAGGGTGATATTCTAGACTTCACACAGATAATACCCCCTTTAATGGTCAGCTATGCCATTGTAAGATGCATTTATTAAGGTTAGCAAAGTGTCCAATTTGGTGGTATTATCACAACCAAGCAGATTAAATAGAAAGAAAATTCTGGAGATGGATGGATACAGTAACAGCTTAAAGACCTTGTATGATGCTGAACAGAGTGAAGCAATATCCCCTTACAGCTTCTTATAACAAACAAACAAATCAAACAAACAAAAACAAATTCCTGAAGACTTGCTTGGTAAACCACTTTATTTTCTTCTCTCTCGTTTTTTAAAAATAGGTCTGAACTGACAGGTAAACTACAGTAATCTCTAACGGTACAAAAGTAAGACAAACTAAGCCAGCCTTTCAATTTTGTTGGAAATGGGAGTATGCAATTTTCTCTTATTTACAACCCTCCAACCCCCATGAGGCAACAAACCCAGCCAACATACTATAGCACCAAAATGTGCATTGCCAAATCCTGTTTTTGACATTTTGTTGAAATGTAGTGAAACACAAAAGCTTAAACAATTTTAAAATTACTGACCAAAACTAAAATAGAGTTTCTAACACTTAAGAAACATTTTCAGAGCATTTGTTTAGTCAGCCTCTTAGAAGTCTGCAGTAAAGCTCTTTGATTTTCCTTTTCATATAAAAAAGGCTATTAGGTGCTAATTTACGATCTTTCTCTTGGACCACTTTATTTTTGGGCACTAATAATCGCAGAAAACCTAAAGAGATGGCATACTACTTTATATTGTAATTACTTGAACTCAAAAGCCCTAACGAGACCTTTGGGATTGAATGCCCAACATCAATAGAATAAAGTACGATTCCAGAATCTTAGTTTCTATCATAGGAGCAAAATCTGGAAGCTTTGGGGGGGGGGAGTCAACAGCATAGATAAAAATTGTATACAAGTACAAGCTTTTAGAATGGATCCAAACATAGGTAGGAGGAGAGGCGAGTGACAGGCAAGAGGAGGAGTGAATGATAAAAGACACCAAGTCAATGAGATGACATTAGCTCCATAGAAATAAATAATGGAATATTCCAATGGTGTAACTTTCAGGATGCAGAGAATATCCAGTCTTTATAAGTAATACAAAGGACATGACTGAACATTGGTTTGTGGGAGGAAAGTAACTATTTCTATATCAACATCTTCTCATTAAAATCAGAAGAACAGAGTAGTTCCCTCATAAACCTTTCCAGATGAGGCTGTAATCTTGTGACTAGTTATATACCACAAGTTATTTTGATAAAACACAATATAGAAACCATGAAAGGTTTCTGGTTTTGGAACCATTAGGCAAGGTCAACCTAAAAAAGTGAAGCTCAGACTTCCAAGGAGAGTAGAAGAAAAAGAAAAACAGACTCTTTAACCAAGTCTCTGGTTTTTGGAGTTTAAGAAACCTGGCTTAAGAGGGGAAGGTCTTAATTTAGTAGTGCTTAGAGCTGGAAGGGACCCAAACAGATCATCAGGTCTGACCTCCTGCCCCAGGCAGGAATGAGTGCCAGGGTCAATAACACCCCAGCCAAATATATCTGTCCAGCCTCCTCTTAAAGACCCCCAAGGTAGGAGAGAGCACCACCTCCCTTGGGAGTCCATTCCAGAGCCTGGCAGCCCTAACTGTAATGTCTCCTGATGTCCAGCCTGAACCTTCTCTAACAATTTGTGGCCGTTATTCCTAGCAACCCCTGACAGTGCTCATGGGAACAGAGCCTCATCCAATTTCCGCTGGTCCCCCCTGGTGAGTTTGTAAACAGCCACCAGATCCCCTCTCAACCTTCTGTTGTGGAGGCTGAATAGATTCAGGCCCTTTAGCCTCTCTTTGTAGGGCCTGACCTGCTGCCCCTTGACCATGTGAGTGGCCCTCCTCTGGACCCTCGCAATGCTAAGCACATCCCTCTTGAAGTGCAGCGCCCAGAACTGGATGCAGTATTCCAACTACAACCCGACCAACGCCGCATAGAGGGAAAGGATCACCTCCCTGGACCTGCTTGTGAAGCACCTGTAGATGCATGACAAGGTGCAGTTAGCCTTACTGACCACTTCCTCACATTGGCGGCTCATGTTCATCCTGGAATCAACAGTGACTCCAAGATCCCTTTCTGCCACTGTGTTGACAAGAAGGGTGTTCCCCAGCCTATAGGCGTGTTCCTGGTTCCTTCTCCCTAGATGCAGCACCCTGCACTTGTCTGTGTTGAGTTCCATCCTATTCTCATCCGCCCACCTCTGTAACCCATCTAGCTGAATTCTGTCCCTCCCCTCCAGCGTGCCCACCTTGCCCCACATCTTGGTGTCAGTGAATATGGACAGCATGCTTTCTACACCAACATCCAGATCACTGATAAATATGTTGAATAGTACAGGCCCAGGACTGAACCCTGGGGGACTCCACTGCCCACATCCCTCCATGTCGAAAACGACCACTCTCTGGGTGTGACCATCTAGCCAGTTTGCCACCCATCTGACTGTGTAGGCATCAAGGACCTGGGTAATTGGGGACCACATCGGCCCTTTTCCAATCCTCTGGTACCTGGCCAGAGCCCCATGAGCACTCAGAGCTGTGCCAGGGCCCTGCTATGATCCCCACCAATTCCCTCAGCACCCTTGGGTGCAGAGCATCTGGACCTACCAATTTAAAAACACATCCAGCCCCTCCAAAAGTTCCCCAACTAGGTCGACCCTGACCCTAGGCATGGTGGTGCCTCCCCTGGGTCCATCTGTAATCCTAGTGGGGGAAAATGTCCTGGTCCCTGTTCAGAAATATGGAGGCAAATAATTCATTGAAGGTCAGCTTTGTTTGCTGCAATCACCAGATTGCCAAGCCTGTCCTGTAGGAGCCCCATGTTCCCTGGTGCCTCCTTCTTACTTCCTATGCATTTGAAAAAGGACTTGTTATTCCTAATTCTGGTCACTAGCCCTAGCTTCATCTCTGCCTTGGCCTTCCTAACAGCCTCCCTGCAGACAAGCAACAAAGGTGTAATCCTCCTTGGTGATAGCCCTTTGCTTCCACTGTTTGTATGCCTCCTTTTTTGCCCTCAGTACCTTTGCTGAGCCATGGGGGGCTTTTTAGCACTCCTGCCCCCCTTGCTGCACATTGGGACCAACTCCCTTTGAGCTCAGAGGATCGTCTCCTTGAGGAACAACTACCTGTCATAGACTCCCATCTCACTGAGGCTCCAAGACCCCAATGCCTCTCCTACTAAATATCTTCTTAGCTCGTTGAAGTTGGCCCTCCTGAAGAAGTTGAGGAGTTTTGCCTTACTGCTTGCTTTCACCACCCTATACTAGATAATAAATTCCAGCAGGCAGTGATCATTGTTGCCCAGGTGGTTGAGTACCCGCAGACCCCTCACCAGGTTGTTGCCTGTGGCAAGGACCAGGTTCAGCAAGGCATTTCCCCTGGTGGGACTATGCACCTCCTGGGTTAGGTGGCGGTCCTGGATCCCGGCTAGGAACCTACATGAGCAGTCAGACCTGGTTGACTGCTCCTCCCAGCAGATGTCATGGGTGACCTAGACTACCCAGACAACTACATCCCTTGACTTTACAGCCTCCGTGAGCTGACCTGAGAATTCCAGGTCCAGCTCGTCCCCCCAGTGAAGCGGTCTGTAGTAGACGCCCACTATCAAGTTCCTTTCCCCACGACCCCCTTGCATTCTTACCCAGAGTGCCTCAGTTTGCCCCTCCTGATCATCGAGGATGTGTATTGCTCTTTGATGTAAAGCACTACACCTCCCCCCCCCCGGCCTTTTTTCCCCTGTTCTCTCGCCTGTACCCCTCGATGTCCACTACCCAGTCGTGGGTAGAATCTTCTCTCTGTAAAATCTATTTATAGATTACAATACAGTTTACTTTAATACATGCAACTGTAGGTTTCCTTTCTTCTGCTGGTGTTACAATTTTTTTTCCTATATAAAAAGTTATTGTTACTGTTACAGTCAATTTTTTTTTTTTTTAAACTTTATTTTTCCTTTTAGTGTCAAAGGTTTTAAGGCAGTGATCCATTCTGTTAATTCCTCTTACCACAACAGATGAATAGCTAGTTACACACACCTAGGGTATCTAGTAGAACTCCAAAGAAAGTTGAGTCCTGGTGTCAATGTTCCTCGCATGCTTTCTATGAAGCCAACGCTTCCAGAAAAATTAAGCATGGGTTGTCAGAAAGCTCAAACATTATAATCAGATTCTGCATGTTATAACATGGTATTTGGTTTACTGTATTTAAACATGCACATTTTCTCATATACAAATAATGGAAAGATGTTCTGCAGTTCACAAAGCAGTCAAAAAGTTCCTCAAAATAGTGATCACATGTTCACCTAATATTAAATTCACATCATTTTGAAAAATTATGGAAGAAAATAGCTCAGTCCTATACACAAAGTCAGCCTTAAGAAAAAAGTTTTCCATTTTTCAGTTATGGAAATAACTTATAAAAACAGGTACATAAAATGTTAGTTATTTAAATTACAGATTTTACCTGTCTTTTAGAATAAACTTGTCTTGATCATCAGTTTCCATTTCTTCAACATCTTCATTCACAGTTTTAATTATACCATTTTCCTTGTGTTCTTCATTTAGCAGCTCGTACCTCCCATTTTCTAGGGCTGCTCTCCAAGATTGCCTGTCTGTAACCTGCAGCAAACAAGATTTTGTTTCTACGAACTTTTGGTTGTGCCATCTTTTGTACACTTATTTAACTTATATTTTTGGTTTCCCTCAGGATATTATGCAAGAGTTCATTAGCACCTTCCTAGAAGCACCATCTACAAAAATACTGAATAGTGGAATACCTTAATAGCTCCCAATGTTCCTTGATAGATTCGGTCTTCAACGTCCAAAAGAAAGTCTCTAAGTCGTAGTTCAAGTTGCTTTTCTGCCGACATCTGAAGTGCATCATGTGTATTCTGTATTCTTCCCCGCCCTGAAAGTGGTCTGCTGTCACTTTGAGGTTTGTCTGCAATGAGAGTCAATACTATAATCTTTGTTAGGATTTTTTACCCCTTAAAACTGACCAGCAAAAAAAAGCAAAACAAAAAACCCAAACCTTCAACAAAAAAAGGCTGTTAACAACCAAAGTTATTTAAAATTCTTTCAGTACTGATTTAGCTAGAGTAACACCATAAAATTTAACTCAAAACAGGGTCAAACAAAGTCTTCCTAAAAATATCAACATCCAGGGCTACCCAAAGCAGGAAGCAAATGGAAGGGACAGAGTTAAAGCACAGTCTTAAAGTGTTTTATTTTAACACTAACAGATTCTATGCTATAAAATTAGGAAAGGATTCTCCTGTTTTTTTCTGTACATTCAACTTGACTCTGATTTGACAACAGAAACAGAACTCCTGCATTCTCAGCATGGTTCTTTCACACAATATGTAAAAAACAAGCAAATACAGCTATTAAACTGTAAAACCTGACAAGACAATTCAGGAGCAAATTGTATTTCCTGAAACCACTTACCTCATTTTATGTCACTTAGATATTAAAATCGATAGCCTCATTGTAAACAAACAAACAGCTTATTTAAGAAAAACCAGAGAAGAACTCGAATAGAAAAAAACCCCAAAACCAACAACTTACTACATCTTTTCACAAATTTATAAAAAATAGACTATATCAACAGAATAAACACTTGCCAGGGACTGGAAGACAGGGTGGGGGGGGGGGAGTTAACAGCATACAAATCAAAAGATGTAGCTTGTAAAACAAGCACGGATGAGAGTGATGAGGAGAGAAGAACATAAGAACTTCAGAGTTATTCAGACAAGAATTAACAACCTGCTGAAAAAGGAGGATGAAAGAGAGAAGGAAAAGTAGGGACGTGCAGATTTCTGTTACTCTCTCACTTGCAGATAACGAAACAATTCCCAGTGGTTGAAAGCAGTTACATAAACTTTTCAAATACTAATGCACATTAAAAAGTGTGCATGGATGGTGCAAGTCCTAAGCAGGAAAAAAAAATGGCAGCCAATAATTGGAAATTCTATTGAGAAAAAAGTTGACAGGTACTGAAATAAATATTTTAAAATGAAGTGATGATATGCTGTTTTTATATTAGTCGGTTATGAAGGGGGAGGAGCAGGAAGAAGCAAAACAACATGCTGCCTCTTATAACGTTCAGAGTTGAATTTGACTGGGTTATAGACGGGACCTAGGATTTCTGTTCTCCATGGAAAAATGTGGAATTTTCCCTTATGCGGAAGCAGGAGGAGGGCAATCAGAGGCAGGGTGCACCATGCAGATGTGCACACACAAAAAACCTCGGGGGTACGTAACTGGCAGGGGTAGAGCACTGGCATGGGCAGGGCTGCTCAGCACCACCTAGGGGACTGGGGGGGTGGCCCAGAAAGGACACAGCTGCAGCTGAACCTATGTCCTGGTGAGCAAAGGGGGCAGGGGGAGCTCTGAGTTTCTATGATATATTTTGGCATTTGATTTTGTTTTGTTTATAGGTATTTAGGAATTCATTTTATTATATTATTATAGTGACTGAAGCACTGGTAAGCTTCTAACCTGCTTTAAAATTGTAAATGCAATTAAGATATATAGGTATCAGTTGATGCACTGTATTTATAGTGGCATTTTTTAAAACGAAAAAAATCACAGAAAAAAAATGTGGATTGAGGGTTTTAAATTGGAGAATTTGAAATTTTTAATAAAAGAACTTGAGATTTTTAAACAAAGAACACCAGGATCCCTGGCTACAAATCATTTTACAGCATACTGTTAATTCATGGAATCATAAGAAAATTAGGTTGAATGAGTAAGGATGTGGAAGCCAAGTCCTATTGTTATAACCCTGTCCCCCACAGTGAATTTACCTATAGCTACATCTCATTACTAGAGTACAATTCAGTAAAAGGTTTAACTACAACATTCTTTCCTTTGTTTGAAAAAACAAAACAAAAAAACAAACCTGAAGTAGAGTTCCTGTTCAGGATCTATGGTTTCATCATTAGCAACACCACCAAAAAGAGGAAGTATTTGTAGTTGTTTTATCCAGTTTTAATGGAACAACTAATATGCAGTAAAGGCAAATAAAAACATCCATGTAGACCAGAGGTGCAAAACAGATTCCTGTTTATAAATCGCTTTCATGGTAAAGTTGTGCAGAATCCAAGATTTCATTTAAAAATAAAATAAATAAAAAGGTTTCCAGCCCTCAGGCTAGAGACAATCTTCTGAAGTGAACTAAGAGTAAACCAATGTTATATCTTAGTCTACAGATGGTGTAAAACAAAGTCCCACAGATGTTAAATTTCCTTCTCCTCTATTAGAGCTCTCACCCAAATGAGATTCAAGTCTAATATACATTGACAATGAAGTCTAATGACTATTCTACCGTTTTAGCTGATGGCACGAAGGCACGCAGCAAGAATAGAAGTCTAGGAATTGGGGGACTAGTGCAGGGATAAAAATGCACAGGAAGGGGAGAGGGAATACAAAAACGAAGAACACACAGAAAATGGAAAGACGACAAAACAGAAAAGAAAATGAATACAAATGCTCATGTGCGTGCATGCGTGCACACACACACACACACACACACACACACACACACACTGTAGCTCTAATGGAAAGAAGCATTTTTTTTCTTGCTGTGGCAATCAGATGTTACTGGATAACTCCAGTAAGTGGAGATCAGTTATGGATTTTGAATGCTTTTGGTCCAAAAATTTCCCCAACCCATACAAATTCATTTTGCACTTCTGTGGTATACACACAAGACATCCTTCACTTCTGTCAGCAATTTGCATGACAACTGATATGCACTATAGTCTCATTTTTTTTTTTTTTTTTAAGCACAAAAATGCTTGGGGTAGTTTCAAGCAAGCTTTTAAACTCGGAAACACACAAAAGCAGTGTTATTCTGCAGACAAAGCTACTCCTGTGATGAGCATGTGCCAACAGAGCATAGAAACTTCTGCACGAATTTAGCCTGTGCATGACCCTGCAGTGTTCAACAGTTAAGAGATTTTTTACTTTTTTCAAAAAAAGTTTGCATGACTTCAGAGTACTAAAACCAACTAAAGTGAACAAGACAAACGGGTCTTTTGAATTATTTTGTATATTATGTTATAAAAGAACACCTCCCCAAATCAAAAACATAGTACGCTAATTGCCTCTCCTATGCCCTCTGTCTTCAAAGGCGGATTATTGCATCTTCTGTCACAGCAGTGTTGAGAGATGACCTCCCTTTCAACCCAGGGATATCAAATACTGAATTTTCAAATCTACATCAAACTGAAGTCTCATTCTCCCCTCCCCCCTACCACTCAATTATGCATGCTGTAATAGACTTTTGCCAGGTAGTAAGGGCCAATGACTGGCTCCAATTTATTGAGCTAGGAGTTGAGCACCCCTGGTTATGGGCCAGATCCAGCCCCCAGAGCCATGTTATCTGACTCACAGGACTCTCCATGGGTTGAAAGTTTGGCAGCAGTGGGAAGAGGTAGTCAGTCCCCTGCCACATCATATCTGGACCCATGAGGAGCCTTGTAGGCCAGATGACATAGTCCTACACCCTAGATAAGGTGATTATGGCAGCACAGGGCCCAGTTCCAGAATGCAGGGGAACCAGGGCCCAATCCTGGTACATGCAGCCTGATCTCAGTACTCGCCCGGGGGGGGTGCAAAGCTCCAATCTGGCCTGCAAACTAGCCCCACACAAAAATCATCTCACCTGAAGGACCAAAAGATTGAGCACCACTGTACTGAAAAAAGCAGGGAAGCCATTACCTTTTCCTTAAGACACACCACAAAATGGGTTTAAAAAAAAAACAAACAAACCACACATTAAAAGTGGGTGATTCCCCTATAAAAAGGTGCACAGTTCAACTGTGCAAACAAAAAGGCAAAATAATTTATATGGGAGCAGTGAAAGTACTTAAATAAGAACTATAGGCTCCTAAAAGTACTATACAGAAACAACAACAATTAAACCAAAAGTTCAAATAATTTGCAAAAAAAAAAAAACCCACAGCAAACTAACTTGCCACTTACCTGGAATATGTAATTTTTCCACAGGAAATTCGTTTAGCTGTTCATATAATCTATTTTTCTCTTGTAAAAGAGTTTCTTTTAAGGCACTCTCCCTATGTCCTCGGGAATTGAGAGCCTCTAGGAGTTGGTCCAGTTGTTCCCGAGAACTGTAAAAGCACCAGCGGTTTGGCTTACATACTGGCCTTGGCACCTCAACAGCAACACTGGCATATGAATCTTGGTCAATAGCGGAGGTAGATTCAGAGGACTTCAATGACCCTCCAGTTTTAGGGGATACCTGAGGTTCATTTGTGCAAGACTGAAAGGAAGATGTTCGAGGCAATAACATGTCTTCTGTAAGACCAGAATAGTCCTCTTCTATAAACAATCCAGAAACGGAAGGAAAAATCCAGTATCGTCGGTACATGCGATCACGACCCAAGGCAGTGATGTTGGTGCAGGCGGTGGCATTTTGAATCTTTTCTAGAAGTTCTCTCTCTCTCTTTTGCTGCTCCTGTTTTAAAGCTTCTTCCTCTTCAGGAGTAAGAGGTTCACTCTTTTCAGATATAGTTTCTTCTTGCCTTGCAAGTTCTTTATATCCATTTTGGCTTCTCTTTCCTAAGAAACGACAGGAAGAAGGACAGTAACATACTCCTACTACTGCCATTAGCTCAATTTATAATAAAATTACTCATTTTCTGACATGTTCACTGTAATCAGGTTAACATTATCATTTTGTGCTCAGTAAAAGAACAAAACTAATTGTGTGAAAAAGAAAGGCCATTTAAAATTGTGGGGAGCAGGGTTGGGCTGTTTTGTTTTGTGTGTGCACCATTCGTAATTTAAGAGAGAATCTTTGCAGCATTTTTCTATCATAGAGTGACCAAGAGAATTCCAGTACCCGCTTTAACTGTCAGTGAAACTGTAATGTTAAGTGTGAGAGCCTACTAATAAGCCAGGTTGAACTAGTTCTATAGTCAAAGAGGCCTTGTTGCACAGAACCTGCACTGTACTGCAGTTTGTCATTTTAAATTCCTGGGTAAACAGAGAAAAAAAAAAAAAAGACTACATTCTTATCAAAACTAGCTCTTTACTCCAGTATCCTGCCAGGTGTTCAGTGCTTTGCTCATTTTAACTGATCTAATCCAGTAATTCTCAACTAGGATGCTGTAAAATGTTAAATCACTGCAAACACCTACATGATGATTCACAAGGTAAACCCCAAAGTTTCAAATAGGAATCCATGCTGTCAAAAACATTCTGACCTCTTCAGTTACAAAGAACTCTTAAGAGCACAACAGCTGCTCCATTATTTTACATAGTCAAACAAGTGAAAGCTAAGAGCTATTACTGTCCAAGCAGTACCTCCAGTCTAACGAGGTTGAGAATCACTGATCTAAGCAGTTCACTTATTATTACTGCTCTTAGTAGTATCCCAGTCCCTTCCATTTAAAAAACAGAAAAAACAACAAAAAAAACCCAAACACACAACCCTTTTCTTCCTGTCAGTCCATTCCTAGTATCCAAGTAGCTTGTTGCCTACAAAAGCTCATGCCTCTCTGAATCAGTCTCCAAGGTAACACTCTTCCCTACCTTCTATCAGACTAGCATGGCTAACCCCTTTTGTATTATTGTCAAAAGGGAACAGAAACATTTGCCTAACAGTGGCATTCCAAAGCTTAATCCACTAACGTTTAAGAATGCTGAAATTCATTTTAAAGACCTTTGTAGGGTTCATTATAAAAATCTCAGCATCCTGTAGAAAACACTACAAAAGGTGAAATGCTACAAAAGGCAAAAACACTAGAAAAAGGCTTTAAGAGAGAGAACTCCAATTCAATATATTGTTATTGACTACACAAGCTCATAATTAAGGTTCAAACATTAACAATTTTTTAAAAATCAGCAAACAGAAGTATAAGTCAAATGAATCACACTTTAAGTTATCCTTAACAACATATCTAGTAAAAGCTGAAGCTATAATCTGGGTTTGAATCCAGGCTCACAGAGCATAAGAAGCAGACCCAGTCCAGAGCCAATCATCAGTGTAAGACATTTTAAAGAGTTCCAGAGAAAAGTAGGTTTGGTTTTTATTTCTTGTTGTCATCATTATCATCGTGGTTACATTTTTTGTTTTCTTAAAAAACAAAACAACTGAAAAAGCCAAGGATGGCATCTTCAGATAAGATTCCTACAGGATCACTGAAATATTCAGAACTGCAAATAGACAACAGTTTATCATCATTTCACCTTTCTGACACAGTTGCCTAGAGATGGCAAGCAGAAGAAAGAGACAGAGAAGCTGAAGTACACAGGATTGACAGTTAAAACAGGGTTCAAGACAGCTCAATGTACTGAGTAATCTATTATGATCAACATCTTGTACAATGAGGTTTATGCTTTTTAAAAAAACAGTATGAATGTATCTAATTGCGCACACATTCCAACAAGTACTCACAAATTATTGGCATTACCTCTTCTGCCTTTTTTATTTGGCCCTGGTTCTTCCTCATCCTCTGTCACTGTGTCCATGTCTTGCTCCTTCCGTTCAACTTCTTTGCTTTCTGTGCTAGTATCAAGGTCTTCCCGTTCCTCCTCCCTAATAGGATGGTATAACAGAAGTGATTAACTACATCCCTAGTATTCGTTGTCAGTTCTGATCAATTCTTTGACAAGTTATATTAGCAATTAGCATTTTACTATCAAAAGTTGCCCTCCAAAGATGCATTTTCTCCTTTCATTGCACTATTCCTGCTGCAACATGAAAATGACTCTACAATTATTTAAGACAGTATAGGTTTATAGTAGGGTTGGGGGGGTGGGGAAGAGGGCATTTATATAAACTTTAAAGTATAGGAAATTTACCAGAAACCAAAACACTGAGCAACTACCACAAAATTAAAATCATAATCATACCAAAAATTAAAGCCAGAGTTTAAATACCACCCAAATTGCTAGAGACACTTAATAGCTGAAGTGTCTGTTTTTTTTGGTAGCATGCACTCCCCAACAAATTCAGTCAAGTTCTGCTATTTTATACCAGCTTGGAATCTGGTCCTTAGGTTTTAATTTTTATTTCCTACTGTTTTATCTTTGTGAAAGACCCTGATTCCATTGAGATATTATAGAACAACAAAGTGGTTAAAATAGCAAATATCCCCCCACCACGAGACTGCCATATTCAGAAGAGGACAGTCATAGGTTTGATGCAGTAACTGTTAGGCGAGGTTTGACAACTGATGTTATATAAGCAGTCAGACTAGATAAGCAGCATACAAACCTCCCTCTCTCCCCCCAGCCAATTAGTAAACTAAGCCAACCATGAATACCTGCACTCACCAGTTGGATACACACGGTAACCTTATAAAATGTAGTCTCAGATTTCCTATTAGCAGGCAGACTTTTGGTAATGTTTGTATTAAAGTCACTTATTTATAAGGGAAAACCAGTTTGTAGAAACAAAATTAAAAAATGATTTTACAGTTAATTCCCCAATGGTGTAAATTGAAACAATACTAGAAGTCAGCAGAACTATAATGAATTGAAACTTTGGCCTATTTCATCACACAAATAACTGATCATACCCAATAGATGCTTCCACAGCAGGATTTTTTTGCTCTTCTTCCTTCAACTTTTCCTGTTTTTCTTTCATCTTTTGCTCTTGTTCTTTTAATCTTTCTTCCTTCCTCTTGCGTATCCTAACATTGGAAGGAAATGTGAAATAATTATGACCCAATACACAGAGTGCCTAATTTAAGTTGCTCGTGAATTTTTACTTAAGCACTAAAAGGCATGAAAATAAATTTCAGGCCACAAACTCCTATTTTACAATGCCCATCATGAGATATCTGTCATGATTTGGGCTTTTAACGCTGGTGTAACGCAAAGAAAAATAGTTACATGTTCATATCCAGTAGTTCTGCTGAATAAAGGAGTTCCACTTAGTCTAATCCTGGATATGTTCAGCTTCCTATGTTCTGTTCTTACCTTGCTGCTGCTGCTTCTCTCTCTTTGCGATGTTGTTCTGCCTTTAACTCTCTGAACTCCTGTTTTGCCTGCCGTAATATATCAACAGAGTCCTCAATGAAATCTCGAGTGGAGACAAGTGTCAAAAGTTTTCCACAAAGGGCATGAAGAATCTTTATCTTTTCACCTGATAAATTAATATTAAATGGTTAATGAACTACCATGACCATATTAACTATAGGCCTTTTTCTAGTTCATGGAAATACCCTTTATGTTGCTAATTTCAAGCCTAAGATACAGTGGCGTCCTGATCTTGCCTTGGGGTAGGGAGACAGTGGCAGCATTCAGCAGTGGTGGTGGCCACAGCAGGGCTTGTATGGCATTGTCCATGGGGCACGCCCAAAGCGTGGAACCCAGGGTGGTCACCGATTTGCCCTCCCACCCCCCGGGGACGGCCCTACATTGGTATATTTTTGTAGATAAAGAGTTTTAAAATATTAGGCAAGAGAGGTTATTTTAGTTCTACTGAATCTTACACACAGATGCATTCTGTTTTACAATTTTGAGTCAAATACAGCCATTAAACCTGGTTGATTCTGTCCTTTTAAAATACAAATCATGCGAGTGCCTATCTAGTAATAATTATAAATATAGAAATAGATGGAGACATGAAGCATAAAGACAATGTCAGATCTGACAACTGAAAGCAATGAAGACTCAATGAAGAGATAGCTCTTGGCACACCGCCAATATTTTAGATGCATATCCCACCCTATCCAGAAAGGCTCAGAGCAGTTTGCAGTAACAGACAAAACCCAAAAGAAACAAAAAATCCTCTATCAACATTGTAAAATTTAAAAATTCCACTGCCCCCCCCCCTTTCCTGCCTATTACACTCAGGAAAACAAAAACTCTCCAGCCATCTCAACTGTAAATTATGGTTAGGAAATTCACCAAGATATGGGCTCAGGATATACTAACATTCCAGCTCTGAGGTACAGCACATCACATTTCATGCTCCTAACATAACAGCATACATGTCTAAACATTCATTTATAAGATTTGCATGCTGCCCCCACAAGATGAGGCCAAAAAAAAAACCAGACAGACAAGACAGATAAAAATACTGAAAATAACATCATATGAAATAGAACCAATTCCCCAGAATCTATGCATCATTTTCAAGTTTGAACTGTTAACTGAAAGAAACTCACTACAGAAAAGAATAATCCCACTTCAAAGTTAAAGCCTGTCAGCACAAAAGCAAAAGTAACATCAAAGAAATAAAATCCTGGCACCATAACTGGAAGCCTGAAAAATGAACCATCTAAAAAAGTGGTGGCCAACTTTTTGGCAAGTGTGCCACAAGTCTCAAGTATATCACTCCAATAAATCAGCCAATGTCTCCAAGTCTTATTGCCCTCAGGCAACAAGGATTTGGCTGGTATTTACGCTGGTACAGTATCAACCCCCAACCCATCTCTCTTCCCCGACTACTGCTCCCAGTCTCCAGCCCCTCCCCAATCTGCTGAGTGCCAAAACATACTGGCTGCACATATGCTGTGGGCTGGCCACCACTGATTTAAACAATCAAAAGTTCTCATGGTTATCAAATCCAAAAAGGGAGAGTCCATTTAGAGGGCTAGTTATTCAGTAGGCCAGGGTGGCACCTTAGACACCAATTGGTACAGAGAGAGATAAGCTTTTATGGACAACAGCCTACTGCATCAGATGCTATGAATGGACTGGCAGCGGGAAAATAATTTTATATAAAAAGGAAAATGGATAGGAGGGGACACTCTTAAGAAAGAGTCTTTTCTATAAAACCTTTTCTCTCTGTCAAAAACTGGAGTTTATCCACCAATTTGTTATGACAGGAAAAATGGCTGTTAAATATCTTTTGACCTGTGCTAGATTTGGAACTAATCATCAGCAAGATGGTTTTTATCAACTTAAAATACAAATATTTATTTTATTACCTGGTGACAGGTCATACACAGAAGTACTTGAGAGTTTCTTTAACAGACCAGGATTATTCAACCTCAGCTCCATGCAAGCATCATCTGTAGCATCGAACCCTCCGCGTTTTTGGTAACGATATTTTGCATTGGCCGATGTAACATCAGCACCTGATGCTAGGATGTGGAGCCTGAGAATCTCGGAA